AAAGGGGAGAACAGAGGAAAACCCTAAATATAATATAGTCCTATCCCATCCAAGATATAAATGGAGGTCTGTGAATTTCAAATTTAGAGACCTAATAAATACATCTGTAATTTTTGGTGGGCATTTGTCTGACATGATAACCCTCATTTTCTGAGCCTTGTCACCCTCCATGCAGAACAGTGAGGGGTATGGAGGATCATACCCCGATATGAGACCTTCAGCACAAGGAACTCACCACATTAGAGCCATCATTATTCTGGCAGCCATGTTCATGGAGAAAAACAAACCTCTCTTCATGATAAAATATATACAGGCTGTTCTAAATGGCAGGATTTCATTATTTTTTTTGGCCAAGTAATATACCATTGTATACATGTATTACAGCTTTTTTATCCCCCAGGTTACAGGTGGCAAACACAAGGCCTGCAGCCAAGTCCAGCCCTCCCCCTTGTTTTATCAGGCCTGGAACCTTGCTTCTACCCGGCAGCAGCTGCACAAGTCTGTTGATGGACACTTGGGCTGCTTCCATATCCTGGCTATTGTAAATAACACTGCAATGAATACAGGGGTGCATGTATTCTTTTGAATTAGTGTTTGGGGATTTTGGATATCTACTTAGAAGTGGAATTGCTGGGTCATAGGCAATTCTATTTTTAATTTTTTGAAGAATATTTTGACTGCTTTCCATAGTGGATTTGTACCAATCTGCATTCCCATCAACAGTGCGTGAAGGTGTGTGGACCTAGAGAACACTCTGCTAAATGAAATAAGTCACACAGAGAAAGAAAAATACCACATAATTTCATTTATATGTGAAACCTAAAGAACAAAGGAAATGACCAAACAAAATTAAGATAGAACAATGGGTACAGAAAGCAGACTGATGTTTGACAGAGAGGAAGGGAGGTGGGGGACTGGGTGAAAAAAGTGAAGGAATTAATAAATACAGATTGGACGTTACAGGTAGTCCCGGGGATGTACAGTGCAGCTTCGGGATTAGAGTCGTAATATTGTAATAACTATGTAGGGTGTCATGTGGGTGCTTGGATTATCAACTTTATAAAATATGTGATTGTCTAACCGCTATGCCGTATGCCTGAAACTAATACAAAATAATATGGAATGTAAACTGTAATTTTAAAGTAAAATTTAAATGTAAAAAAATGTAGACTAGTCAACCACAAAATAGAGCTAGTGCTTTTAAATAGTAAAACTACACAAAGGGAGCCCTCATTTCCTAGGCTGGCCCTGTCTGCTTCAGCCTGAAGGGCATTTCTGCAACCAAGTTAGAAGCCCTCAAAATATAATAGAACCACTGACAGACACTTAACTGTATGAGCTCTGGCGAGTAAGGCCATAATTCACTTCATAATACAAATTGATATGTTGTCCAGAGGGATGCCTGCATTGGTGTTATTGAGTGTCTTTTGAAAAGTTCTGGTTCTGGGCTATGGAGCCACGCTATGAAACTGAATGATTTTTTGGGGGGGGATTAGATTCAGAACTGGGCCACTCAATTACATACAGTACTGATACCCTTAGGGCAGGTAATGTGGAGATGTCCTATAAAGACTAGAGATATAAAATAATAACCCAAAGTGAAAAATGCAAACAGTGAAGCAGAGTTTATGGTACAGAAAGTCTAATATCTCTCCCTACAAGGTCTACTTAAAAGCTGAGCACAGCAGAGGTGAAAGAGGACAGACTGCTTTAACTTAAGTGGGGTTAGCTGTTACACAGGTTGTGAGTACACGCTGTATTTGCAAAATCATGTGGCAGGCCAAAGTTCAGCCATCCCAGTGATCTTAACGGTCAAAGCATCCTAAGTGCTTTATAATATAATGCAAATGATTTCAATCTGAGGTAGCCACATTTCCAAATACCATTTAGGGCTGTAATGACTTGTCCTAGAAAGGTCCTGCCAAGCCACATTTAATGGATCTTCTAAACAACGTAAAAAAATTCTCTAAATGTATTATAGAGCTTATAATTTTAGTGTAAAAATAATTGCCCTTCGTCCTCACTACTGTTCTGTTCCCCAAATGCAATTTTGAGCCTTCTTTATTGAAAATGTTATAACTTACTTTCTTCTCTGTGGATCTGAATTCCCACAATCTTGGTTTTAAATTAAGCTTCCCTAGGCAGTGTTAGGCTTCTGACAACTTATAAGTGCTCTGAAGAATTCTGAAAAAACACTCACAAAATCCTGAAAGGCACACTCCACTTACAATGTGAAGTTAGGAGACTTTCCCCCCAGTGTAAACTATCTAACCTTGAGTTTTTTATCAACTCGGTGTCCCTCAATGTGCTGATCTCCAAAATGAAGGTCTCAGAGTAGCTCTCATGTCTTTTACTGTTGGTCCATAGAACCATTTAAGGTGCTAATGAATTACTTAAATATGTAAGTCCACATTAAGCCTTATGGAAAAGCATAGCTGGCAAGATTTTCCTCTCCATTATTTGTGCTAATAGGGGCCAAAGTGGCATGGATTCTTTAAATTCACAGATAATCCCCAAACTTCTATTTAACTAAGGGTTCTAACCTCATTTCCTGCCAAACCATTTACAGGGGATTCAAACAATTAGCAAACACTGGCATGAGCTTTATCTTCTTAGTAATTTCATCCCTAATGCCGTGGCACCAGGATATTTTGATTTCTAAATTTTCAAAAATAGAAGTGAAGAGTAAATCAAGTATAGTGTTTGCATAATCTACCAACTGGTTTCAAAATATCCCACTACTGTTATGATTATTAATAATTTATTCAGGTCTCATATTTTTTTGTGAGGAGTGCAAATTTATTTATTTTTATTTTTTATCATTGTTCAAGTATAGTTATTAAGGGCTCGTATCTTATGGCACAGGTTTTACAAATCATTTTATTTAAACCTCATAATCACCTTGTTGGGTGGTGGTTTAGTCTCTTAGGGCTGCCATAACCATGTACCACAAACTGAGTGACCCAAACAGCACATTTGTTGTCTCCTGGTTATGGAGGCTAGATGTCTGAAATCAAGTGTAAGCAGTGTGCGTTCCCGCTGAGGGCTGTGGCCCGAAGTCACTTCCATGCCTCTTTCCTGGTTTCTTGTGTTCTGGGGGGAAGCTCTGGCCACCTCAACTTGCGGATGCGTCACTCTCATCTCCCCTTTATCTTCGCGTGGTGTTCTGTCTGTGTCTCTGTCTTTTCACGTAGTGTTCTTTCCATAAGAACACCACTCACACCAGATTAGCCACCCACTTCACTTCAATAAGACCTCATTGTAACTTGATTTTCTCTGTAAAAATACCCTGTTTCCAAATAAGTCCACACCCTGAGGCACAAGGACTTAGTTCTTCAAATACAATATATCCATATTCAGTGAGACACAATTCCATCCATAGCAGGTAGGCAGTTTTATTTTATGTATGAGTTAACTAAGGTTACAATGTCGAATTAATTTCCCAAGGTCACAGAACCAGCCAGTGGTGGAGCTGGGGTTCACATCTATACGTGATGACTTTATTTGTTATTTCTAAAATAATCTTGGTACTGGCAAAGAAAACAAGGTATATCATTCCCCTGGGACCAGGAATTCTGAAGATAGTCTTCAGTGGCGCAGAGAATTAAATAACACTGACAGCATCTAAGTTTCATGGATGGCACCAGAACTAAGTCTGCACTTGTCACAACTCCTCCTTAGCAGGTATCCAGGCTGGAGCAAGGATTAAAAAGCAAACACACACACATGCACACACACACACAAAGCCTGGATAATATATATTATGTTATATACATAATAACCCTGAGAAGTCTAATATTGGGGTGTCCTTGTAAAAAGATTCTTAAATGTTAAATATTTACTTAATGGGGAATTGGTGAACAGCACCTAGGAACATTTTTTTTTTGTTTTACTGTGTGGGTCTATATTTCATTCAGGTACTATGGCACAAGTGGGATAGTGAACCTTCTGTAGATATATGAAGAGCTGCATTGAAAGATCAAAATTAACTGGCATAGTATTTCCATTATTTCTTGATTATGCTTTAATGCAATAGTCTTCAACCTTTTTAGCACCAGAGACCAGTTTTGTGGAAGACAATTTTTCCCTGTACCTCAGTGGAGGGGTGGGAGGGTTTCAGGATGACTCAAGCTCATTGTATTTATTGCATACTTTATTTCTATTATTATTACATTGAATATATAATGAACTAGTTATACAGCTCACCATAATGCAGATTAGTAGGAGTCCTGAGCTTGTTTTCCTGCAACTAGATGGTTCCATCCGGTGGTGATGGGAGGCACTGACACCCAAAGTGTGTTGCTTATGTCCGGTCTAGTTTGTACTCTCATTTTGGTGGCTGTCACTGCAGAAAAAACCCTGCTTCACAAGGACAGGAGGTTGAAGATAGAAGCAGGCTTTTCAGTGCTCTTGCGGCAATATCAGGATATTCCACTTCGACTTTATTTTATTTATTTACTTATTTGCCTAAAACAATCATTTATTTTTTCCTTTAAAATTTTTCTGAAAATCTGTGTATACACAAGGCAATTAATTCTCATTATTAAAACACCTCCATCCACATAGCCAAGGTCTCCATCACATTCCATGGTGAGCATGTGGTACGCCACATTCTGTTCCACAGGTGCATTTTCTTGTGAGTCTGTGTGATTATGGTCAATTCTTTCTGGAAATATTAGCTTCTCACAAATGGCCTCCTTGATCAGCAAATACTGTGCTACTTCATTGGGCTCAGTAAAGAAGTAAGGCAGAACATGGGTTAAATTAGCAATTTTGCTATCTAGTGATGAATATTCTCATAACATGTCAGTCTTGTCTGACTCATGATAAAGTCTCATGTCATTCATCCTGATAAGCACTCCATCGATTCTCAAAAAACAAAACAACAAAAGTAGCAGCAGAACAAAGCTTGAGGGAATTACTCTAATTTTCACACTTACACTTGAAACGCCATGATTGTGAAGTTCATCCTTAAGCAGAAAAACTTGAAAAAACTTAATCTATTCTTTGTCTTTCAATTTCTCTGTATTTATATGATCTGTTGTAGGTACAGCCTTTAACTTGAGTGAATCTCCAAGTAATGGTCTCATATAATCTGCTGTATAGGTCCAATTGTGTGGTTTAATCACCTCCTTGGAGTGTTCATCCTTCCTCCTGCTTTCCTGCCATTCTTCTGCACAGGCTACTTTGAGCATTCCTTGGTAGTCGTTCACACATCTTAAAGCATCTGTAGCATTGAACTTGATTCCAAAGCCAGAACACAGCTGGATTCTTAAAACATCTCTGAACACCATTTCAAGGAGGGATGGTATATGCAATTCATCAGCTGACTTCTTCATGTCCACCAACTTCATGGTGTGGGTCTTGGTAGCTGTCAGCTTCCAGGGCCAGAAGGAGAAATCCCAGTGTCTGCTCTGGAAGCCATGGATCGTGATAGCCGAGGCGGGGCCTGTGTCCGCCACAGAGGCCGTGCAGTGTGCACCTGTTCCCCACCTCACTGAGGCCCAATCCCTGCCTTGACTTTAACCCACTCGCTTTCTTCTGTGCATCCTGGTTCCTAACTGGGGGACCACTGCTTTAATGTTTTTAAACATTTAGTGTTTGTGAAACTAACTGGATCCCCAAAAAGGTGGCGCTGCCTGAGAACCTTGGTTTAATATCTTACACTGAAATGGATCAGGCAGAAAGTTGAACCTTTGAACAAAGCAGATGGATTTCAGGAACTGCAGGAAGGGCTACCTGGATTTAGAGAATGGGGGATATAGGAAAGTTTCCATTGGTCCCTTGAGTCCCTGGACGTCTCAGGCTCCTCCAGCAAACAATCCGATATTCCAGTAGCTTATCAAATGGCATTTCACCTCAAAATATCCTGGCAGCGGCTGGAAATGTTTCACTTTTTTTAGGATTCCTCATCTTTTTCTGAGAACTTACTTGTTATTAAACTTATTTTTCAAATGCAAACGTCTGTGGGAAGTAAGGGGTACTAGCTCTCCACCTATTTAAAGTGAATCAGCTAATGTTCACCCTTTGCTCTAAAAAACACTGAGACTGGTTACAGTGAAACAAGTGGAAGTCTTGATGCAGGGTTGGGGAAAAGAAGGGATAAGTAGTTTAAGACTGTGTTTTCTCAGCAAGAGTAATTTATGGCATAGGCACCTTGGCTTGTGTGTGTCTGAGCCAGGGAATCTATTTTCCTTTATGTTGGTGCTAGAGGCTAGAAGTTTAATCTCTTTATTATTTCCAGTCATATTTTTGTTCGCTTTTTTAAATGTAGAAAAGCAAAAATAACGTCTTTTATTTTTTCTGAGTGTCATCATTATTCTATTTATGAGCATTTCAATAATAGATACATGGAGTATATAATTGTTAGAATACACTTAAACATCTAAATAATTATCGTCTTTGATTTTGCTCTGGGGAGCTGAATAAAGGAAGTTGACATAATAGCAAAAACTTTGCAATTTGTATCAATAATAGTTGGTAAACAAGGAGTAATGGTTATGTAAAACAGATTTGCATTAATCATACAAAAATTGATTTTTTATCATTGTTATCAATTAAAATACTCATTTCCAAAATCCCATACGTTTTTTGTAAAAGTCATTTCACACACATTTGTAAGTCTATGAGCAACCCTCATCATTCTTATGTTGGTAGTAAGAAAAGATTGCTGGTTAGTTGAAGTGATGTTAGCTAATACAAATTTAACTGAATTTAACTTCTTTCTCTCTCTCTCTTTTTTTTAATGAATGAGGGAGAATAGAGGGAAGAGGGATCACTTAACAGAATTGTTCGAATAAATATAGTCTAACTTTTGCCTTATGAGATTTCCAAATGTGCTCTTTTAATATAAATCCATTCCTTAGGCCGTCCTTCCTCAAAAAAAAAAAAGAATTTAGAACATACAGTCATGATTTATTAATAAAAAGGCACACTTCCTCCACTGACCATAGGGTGTATACATTCTCTAGACTGTATGGAGAATATTGTCTTATTATAGAGTCTTGAAAAGAATTAAGACTATTAAACAATGATTGAGATGATAATGCCAGCCCATGTTTTATTATGTTCACTGCTTTTAGGGTTTAAGGTTCAATAAATAATACCCTGTTCTCCCTGTACTTAGCTTGGAATCAATTCAGAATTAAGGACCAAGATAGACAAGTAGAGATTAAATAGCTGGTTTTATTTTAAAGATGATTAGAAAATGTGGTTTTAATGCTTAGGCAAATAGGATAAATACCCCACTGAGTTAAGGAAAGTTTCCAACTTAGTCATTTCCACATCACAACCACCAGTGGCTTAGCCCAAAAGGACCAAGTTGATCCCTCTAACCTTATCCCATGGCAACAGTAAACTTGACTGAGATATAGAGACCTACAGGCAAACGAGAGAGGCAAGAGCCCAAGGGGCTGAGCAAGACAAATTCTATCTCTTCTGCCAGAATTTGGGATCAGGAGAGTAGGGAAAAGGCCATGTGGGTTGCTGTAATGGACAATTACGCAAACAAGAGGCAAAAGGAAGATGATTCAACTCAACATTCTTCATCTAATGATTCTTTTTACCTGGGACTTCTTACATGAGCTGAATAGTCCCTTCTCAAACTATTATCAGCCATGCTATCAATTATAAATTAAAACATAAGCATACAGACAATATACTACCTTTGATATAAAAGTCTCAATATTAATAGTAGAATTCTTTCATTGTCAAATTCCTGGAGATTGACTAAAGTCCCTAATTAAAACACCTTTCTCTGTAAAACTCAAAGCAAATCAAAAGCCAAAATTGCTAACTAAAAGTCTGAAGAAATTCCACTCCAAACTCAAAGGTTTTTGCTCAGCCAGACTGCCAGTGTTAACTCCTCTTTTCCTGAGAAGTACTGTGACTTCAGTATGTGTCATTCACCGCAATTCACTTTAGTTCCTTCAGCATTTCAGAAGTACTCTCCCCAAGGAGGGAACCACCATTCTGCTTTTCTGGGTAGTTTTTAATTAGTTATGTATGTATCACTTGCAATATATTATGCCAATTTTTGAACTTCAAATAAATTGAGTTATGCTAGATATTATCATCTGTCTTTTTTCTTTTTTTAGTCCTGGTTTCGAATATGTGGCTGTAGTTTATAATACCATGTGCTATAATTTATCACTTCTATGGATCATTGCTCATTTTTTATTCTAGCTATTAAAAATAATTTTTCTTCATTAAAAATTGTTTTTAAAAAATACTTATGCAAATATTTAACAATGAGCACTGAAAAGCACTCATGCAAAAACTGAAGGAATCCTCTAGCATGGGATCTTTTTATTTTTATTTGTATTTATTTTTGGTATAATTTTTCTCTTATCACTTACCCCCCTTATGGTCCCTCCCTCTATGGTCCATGAGTCCTTTATGCTTTTTCCTGGATACTACCTCCCCTAGTCCCCCCACCCATAGATGTCATCTTGCTATCTATGAGTCTGTCTCTATTTTGCTTGTTAATTCATTTTGTTCATTGGATTCCACATATAATTGAAACCATATGGTATTCACATTTTTCTGACTGGCTCATTTTGATTAGCATAATGTTCTCCAAGTCCATCCATGCTGTTGCAAATGGTAGAATTCTCTTTTTTTTACAGCCAAGTAGTATTTTATTCTATAAATGTCTCATAGTTGCTTTATCCCCTCACCTACTGATGGGCACTTGGGCTGCTTCCATATCTTGGCAATTGTAAATAATGCTGCAGTGAACATAGTGGTACTTATGTTCTTTTGAATTAGTGCTTTGGCTTTCTTCACACATATTCCCAAAAGCAGGATCACTGGATCAAAAGGCACATCCATTTTTCATTTTTGGAGGTATCTCCATATTGCTTTCCACAGTGGCTGTACCAGTCTACATTCCACTGATAATACAAAAGGGTCCCCCTTTCTCCACATTCTTGTCAGCACTTGTTGTTGATTTATTGATAGGCATTCTGCCAGGTATGAGATGTTATCTTATTGCGGTTTTAATTTGCATTTTCTGATGCTTAGAAGCATTGAGTGTCTTTTCCTATGTCTATCAGGCATTTGTATGTTCTCTTTGGAGAAGTGTTTATTCAGGTCCTTTGCCCATTTTTTTCTAATTTATTGTTGTTGAGTTACAGTTTTTCCACCTCTTTCCCCATTGCTCACTTTTGATTAGATTTTTGTTTGTTGGTTGGTGTTGAGTTTTATAAGTTCTTTATAAATTTTGGATATGAACCCCTTATCAGATGTATTGGAGAATAGGTTCTTCCATTCCTTGGATTAGCTTTTTATTCTGTTGATGGATTTTTTTGCAAACACTTTATAACTTGATATAGTTCCATTTATTTAGTTCTTATTTTATTTCCCTTGCTTGAGGAAATATATCAGATAGAAATATTGCCATGAGCAATGTCTGAGATTTTACTGCCTGTTTTCTTCTAGAATTTTTATGATTTAGGGTTTAACATTTCAGTCTTTAATCCATTTTAAATTTATTTTTGTGTGTGGAGTAAGAAAGGTAGTCTAGTTTCATTTTTTTGTGCATATCTGTCCAATTTTCCCAACAGTATTTATTGAGTTAACTATCTTTAGCCCATTGTATATGCTTGCTCCCTCTGTCAAATATTAATTGACTATAAAGTTGTGGCTTTATTTCTGGGCTCTCTGTTCTCTTCCATTGATCTACATATCTGTATTTATGCCAGTACTATGTTGCTTTGATGACTGTGGTGTTATAGTATAGTTTGACATTAGGTAGCATGATTCCTCCAGCTTTGTTCTTCTTTCTCACAGTAGCTGTTGCTATGTGGGGCCTTTTGTGGTTCCATATAAATTTTTGAAATATTTATTCTAGTTCTGTGAAATATGTCATTAGAATCTTGATAGGAATTTCATTGAATCTCTAGATTGCTTTTGGTACCATGGACATTTTAATGATGTTAGTTCTTTCTATCAATAAATATGATGTATGTTTCCACTTATTTGCATTTTCTTCAATTCTTTTCTTTAATGTCTTATAATTTTCTAAGTACTGGTATTTTACATCCTGATTAACTATATTCCTAGGTAATTGTTTTACTCAATTGTGAACTGGATGGTTTTCTCATTTTTCCTTTCTAATAGTTCATTATTGGTGTATAAAAATGCAACTGATTTTTGGATATTTATTTAGTATCGTGCTACTTCACAAATTCATTTATCAGTTCTAGTAGTTTTGGGGGGCATATTCAGGGTTATCTATATGCAGTATAATGGCATCTGTAATTAATGACAATTTTACTTCTTCCTTTGCAGTTTGGATGTCTTTCATTTCCTCTCCTTGTCTGATTTCTGCAGCTAGGATTTATAGAACTAT